CTATGATGACCTAAATGAAACTGCTGAATGTGATATGAGGCTCTTTTGGAGTTTAATTAAACGCAGAAAAGGTAAACGATCTAATCCAGTTAATGAGATCTCTCGTGGAGACCATCTTACTCGAGAACCTGCTAAAATTGCGCAAACTTTCAGAGACTATTACGCCAATGTATTCACCCCGAAAAATAATGAACGCTTTGACAATATTTTTTTGAATAATCTCGATGAAAGTGTTAGAATGTTCGAAGAAAGCGATGACTATTCAGAAGATGACATTTTAACAAATGAAATTACCATGAACGAGTGATAGACTGTTTTCGTGATATGAAATGTAGAAAAGCACCGGTCTTGACTCTATTACAACCGAGCACATCATTCATGGAGGTGAAACATTAGCTTCATACTTGTTAAAACTTTTCAACATAATGCTCGAATGTAATTATATTCCTGGAGCATGCAAATCTGGAGTAATAATTCCAATACATAAGGAGGGGAAACTTAGAACAGAACCAAAAAGTTATCGACCAATAAACCCTTCTGCCAGTTATTTATAAACTATTTGAACGAGTGCTTCATCATCGTCTAACAACATGGACAGCTCAAAGCAGCTAAAATTTCCGAGCGCACAACAAAATGCGTATCAAAAACATTTAGGACCAGTAACCGCATCTTTCAATCTACAAGAAGCTGTACTATCATACACAGAGAGTAACTCTAGTGTGTATGCCGCTTTCCTAGATACTGCAGGTGCATTTGACAATGTGAGACACAGTGCCATTATCATGAAAATGCATAATTTAGGAATCAAAGGTAAATTTCTGCGACTCATAATTAACAGTTATAAAGATATATTTGACTGCGTCACCGTTAATGGCGTTACGTCAGATATATTCCCAGTTTTGCAGGGCATTCGACAGGGCGGGATAATGTCTACTTGGAGCTACCTACTTTTTATTGATGAGCTTTTACAAAATCTTGAAATTTGCAAACATGGAATTATAACCGGTAATATTGCATGTGGCAATCCAACACTTGCCGATGATTTGACACTATTAAGTCCATCGTTAACATCACTAGAGAATCAGCTTGCTATTGTTAACACATACGCAAATACATAGGGATATGAATTTAACTATAGCAAATGTTGTGTATTGAAGTTTGGCGGAAAAATTTCTGACAATATATTTCAAGCAAACTTTGGTCATTCTGAAATATCATCATGTGATACCGTTGTGCATGTTGGAATTAAACTTAATAAGACATTAAGTGTAACAGATACAATCGATCAACGTATACATAAAGGACAATCGTCACTTTTTTCAATATTATCCCTAGAAAACAATGTTGGTGATATAAATCCACTGACCCTAGCATCATTAGTAAAAAAAGTATCATTTTCAACCTTTCTCTATGGGGCTGAACTATGGCATAACATTTCAAATACTGACATTGTAAAGATCCAACGATTTTGAACGATTGCAGCGAAACAAATACAACATCTCCCACAGTCAACTAGAACGGACATGGCTCTGAGCACACTGAGATGGTTTACTATTGAAGCTGACATAGACCAGAGAAAGCTAACCTTCCTACAAAAACTGTGTACTATACCAACACACTATCTGTCAAGAAAACTGTTTAATTACAGACTTAACTTATTTGTTATGAAAGGTTATTGTAACCAACGCGGCTTTGTTCCCGAAATATGCAGACTATTGTACAAATACGGATTATTCCATTTCATTTCTGACTACATGAAGCATGCACATTTTCCATGCAAATACTCGTGGAAAAATACTATTAAAAAGGCAATTACACATACACAAAACAACATGTGGCAACAAAGAATTAACAGTGATAGAGATTTTGACAGATTTATAGCAGTTCATCAATCAGTAACGCCTTTACATTTATGGCTGTTTTTCAAATACAAACAGTGAGATTAAACATGCTATAAGTGCAACGAAAATACTTCTATATCGACAGTTTTATACAAGTTATTCCTGTACAAAATGTCTACAAGAAACTAGTGATATAAACAGACATATCTTAGCTGAATGTGATACATATACACGTGAACGGACACGCTTTACAGATTCAATTGATCAGAAATTTAGCTCTGAAGTTTGCAGCTATTTTCTTAGAATTAACTCGGAAGCATTCTTGCGAGGACTCTTTGATTCCAATTTATTGGCTGTCTTTGGTATTAATCCAGAACTCCAAAAGGCTTCACCAACCTATGTTGTAAATACGTTCACGACCTAACAATGGAATATAAAAAGTAACCTCTAGAACATTCTAATAACATTTTCCATGAGAGGATGTTTATCTTAGACTTCTAAGGTTAAATGCAATATAATAAATCCATACTAAATGTTCCTTTACATGACACTTATATTTCGTGTTTTCGATAAGTTATAAATGTAATCGGGAAAATATTTAGTAAAAGTGCATAAAAAAATACTCAGTAAATACCATTATGTCGAACATTGACACTATATCATGTGCTTATTAATAAGCTAACATTGTGTATGCAGGTTGTTATAATTCTATATATTGTATCTCTATATTTAATGTATGACATTGTGTATGACATGCTTTTCGTGTATATAATCAGTAATCGTATGATATTATGTTATGTTCTCATGTAAATGTGTTAATTAATTGTTATATCAGTCACTGAAAAGTGGAATAAAAGATTATATATATACCTCATCATAACGTTTGCAAGATCATGTCTGGAGGCAGAAACAAATAAAAGTACAGGACAATTAGCTTAAGATTTTGTTTGCTTATTCGGATGTTAAATGCCAATATCGTAATACATCGTGATTTTTGTTCTCTTTTTGTTTATTGCGATAATCTTGCAAGACCTTTCATATTAATCGCTGAGTTACAAGACGTAGGTTTGTGTATTGTTTTATCAATTCCTTATTTACAGAGATATTAAAATATTAAATTTGGGACAAATATGATATATTTTTGGGCAGACTTATCCATATTTGTAATTCGTAAGAAATGTCAAACGTGCGTTTAGTATTTTTTCCTTTTAATCTAAAGGTTGATCTTGAGCATGGTAGGAGTTAGATTAAAAGATAGCGCTTATAAGTCAGAAAGATAGTAGAATTTTAACAATTTGACTACTTTAATACATATGTATGTAAATTTGTATTTTAAAATTGTTGTAATATAAATAATTATTTTTTCCAAAACAAAATAATTGTGAATGCCGACTATTTTCCATCAGAGTTTAATGACAATCCTTTGATTTGTAAAAAGGCTTACTACTAAAGTCGCACACGAGTGAATTACTGTGTGTACAGTTCTAGTCTAAGTAAAGAGCCACACAAGCGTCAACATGTCGTATTGTAAAGTAAGAGTACGCAATATAAAATATCAATTCATACAATTTTTATGGCAAAATTACAGTTATTGCACTCGTACCTAAGGTATCACGTATCATAAGAGATGAACATAACATGTTTATGTTAGCCTCTTTATAGAATAACAAAAATAATGATAGTATTAAACACAGGTAAAATGTTGACGAATTTGCTTGATTAAAGCCTTATTAGCTTATCTCGTCCTGGCCTCTCTTTATAACCATTTCTCAAATATCGCATCATTATTTAGATATTACGTTATGTGAATTTATAGAAATATGAAGGCTGAGCTCAATACCGGGTAATTTATATTAGATTTTAGACTTAGTTAATTAACAAGGTTTGGCGCTTTATCAATACTTATTTTTGTAACAACTTGCTTGTAACAGGAAAACTGTGTTATTTTTTGATCTCATATTACAGAACTGCTGATAAATTATAAACAGTATCTGACTGATCTGTTACAAGATGATAGTTCACACAAAAATCTTCACTCTTATATTTCATAATAATGCCTATGATACACGTGGTTTATACACTTGATTCAGATTCTATTGCGATAAACAGCATAACCATAATTTAAAAAAAAATATTCTTCAGCCAATGCAAAACATCAACAAACTTTATGTCTTTATGCCAGAGAATTTTTTGGAGTTGAATTCCATAATAAAGAGTACATATTATAATAACATGTTGCATCAAACATTATGATAATAGCAACAATAATAACAAAAACAACGACAACGATAATAATAATAATATAATAATAATAATAATAATAATGATAATAATAATAGTAATAATAATAATAATAATAATAATATATTATTATTATTATTATTATTATTATTATTATTATTATTTTTTTATAAAAAATGAAAATAATGCACTGCGTAATATTATCAAACGAAATTAAACTTGTTAAAATGATATCCTCGCTATATCTTTTAGAACTCCATACTTTTAGATATAAAATTTACGGCAAAATTTTAAATATTTTATTATCAACACTCAGACTGAGATTTGATATAACATATGAGCCGCGTCACGACAAAACCAACATAGTGTGTTTGCGACCGCCAGGGACCAATCTAGCCTACGCATCCGCGCAGTCTGGTCAGGATTCATGCTGTTCGCTATCAGTTTCTTGATAAACGAACAGCATGGATTCTGATCAGACTGCGCGGAAGCGCAGGCTGGTCTGGATCCATGCTGGTCGCAAACACACTATTATTGGTTTTGTTGTGACGCGGCTCATATGATAATCCTGAGCTTGAGATAGATTTTTTTCTACATCTAGTGTAAGTTATAGAAAAAAATAACAGTCAACATTCCCAAAAGACTGTCTTGTTCCGATAAAAGGACATATTATGAGAGTTAAAATGCAACGCAATGCCTCAGTTCTCCTTCAAATGTTTTTACAACAAATTGGAAATTTAATGGAGAAGACTTTTTGCTTGTAGCTGATTTAAACCAATGGCTTTTATCTCACACCGCAAGAACAAACACTATTATGGAAATATTATTGGAGCGGACCTGTTGACTGTTTGGTGAAAACGCGCGCACATCTGCCGATATCAAAGCTGTTTACTACATGATAGAATAAAGCTGGGCGTTAAATGTACTTTCCTTCCATTTAACAGAATGGTTTTGGGAAGCTACGAGGCAAAATAATAGCTGTTGTTTTTCTTTTTTTATTTTGAATTTAAACGATGTTGTACTTATATGTTAAAATTAAGTACAGATAATTACTGTAAATATAACGATATTAAACTATTAATGTAATATTAAGAATGATTTTAAAATGATTTAGAAGAGGAGATTGAATGAAAGATTTTGCTAATTGTAAATGAGTAAACAATTTTTGTGAATAGAAAATAATTGTGCATCTACTTATTTATGGATGTTAACGACTTTATTGCTGAACGAAAGCTTAGCCAAAAATTGTTAAGATTACAATCCTTTCTTTAAGCCGCCGTGATTCCATCAGGCGATGTCTTGATTAAAAGGATATCTGACGTATCAAATAAAAAAATGAAGGAGAAATAACAAAAGACTCTCATTTCGCGCCAGTAAGTTGCTGTAGTGTCTCCAGACAGGCTATTTTCTTTGATTGACGCTAGTGTAATGACGCTTACAGTGTTAAAAGAACGAGTTCTCCCTTGAATTGTAGGACTTTTTCAGAGGTGATGTCTGTGGTATAAAAACGATAATGGAAGTGTTTAATTTCTTGGCAATTTTAACAGTATTTATTGTATATTTTTTAAACTTTATTCATAGTGCTTATCCGCGAGAAAAATCCATTTATTACATAGGTGCACATGGTAATTTTACATGGCCCCGTAAGGAGCTTTCTGTGTCAATAGATGGGGATATTATAATTGGAGCCTTACATATGGTGCACGAGAGAAGCGAGGAACTCACGTGCGGTGCTATAATGAGTCAAGGAGGTATTCAGGCTTTAGAGACAATGCTTTATACGTTAGACCATATCAACAATCGCATGGATATACTTCCGCATGTGTCGTTAGGGATGCTAGCAAAGGACGATTGTGACAGAGATATTTATGGCTTAGAACAAGCCGTTGATTTTATCAGGGGTAACACATTTTGTTATGTTCATATATGTTTTTTTATTAAGTGCATATAAATATAATATCTTTACGATTTCATAGATGTTTTTCTATACAATAATCATGTCCAGTCTAATCCACTTACCAGTTATTGTCCTGTATAACTGTAAAGGGCAAAGTCAAATAAAGGATAATTTTATTCTCTTAATGTTGTTGGTACCAGCTCTGGGTAATGTTACTGTACTAATTGCCAAAACACTTCAAAGCAAAATGGGGTCCAGGTAGTTCAAACGACAGATAGACATGCACGCACGCACACAAAATAAATAATAAAAAAACTTTAGAAATAAAAATTAAAACATATCTGAAGAAAAATGGCCTTCAAGTAAATATGTTTAATCTTTAGAATGTTTCCTCTTTACTGACAGTTTACTGTATGATAAGGCAAAAATATCTTATTTTATTAAACATTTGATAAAATAAATGCATACTTATAGATAAAGTTATCAACATAATACTCTTGTGTATTGGCAACTTGCTTTGATGTTTAACAAAAAAAACAAAAACAAAGAAAAAAGAACAACAAAAAAGACATGATAAACAGGATCATTATTAGCCTTCTTTATACTTCGTTTGGAAAACACATTATTAGGATCTTATATGATTATTTTGAATTAGTCCCATGATTTACTCCGGACAGACACGATTTACATTGTGAGTCGACAAAAAACAACAAAAAACATTTACATACATAAAAACATCCACATACACCAGCTTTACATTTCATGACCAATTTTTTGGCCTTTTGGTTAGACATTATTATTTACATTTTGCTATAAATGGAATGTATCTTATTTCCATATAAAATAATTTACTATGCAACTGTTTGTAGTTTACCGAAATTTCATCTCGTAAAACCAAATTAAAATTAAATCACAAAAATGTCGTTTCCACTTATAGGGGAACTGCTTTGCATTTGGACAAAATGCATCGATGTAAAATCTGGTGCACTGCATTGTAATAAAACTTTTGAATTTTTCAATCCATCCATTAATTTGTGTACTTTTAGAAACTAGGAAACAAGTTATTTTTGAAAAATTTAAATGTTTATACATGTTTCTTTTAAAGTTTGGTATGTATTTGTTTGGGATGATGTGGATAGTGCTGTGCGGACATTCTGGCTTTAAAAACTTTAATAGCCGCCTTTTTTATAGTGAAACGAAGTCACACGTATGCTTTTTATTTTGGTTAGATTTGGTAACGGGTCTGGTGCCTTTATTGTCTTATATACTATCTTTATGGTCAATTTTGATGCTTTATTTTTGGTCATTTGCTTTTTAAAATAAATATATCGTTTAATCGGGATATAATTAATAAATGTCAAAGGCATTTGGACAAACTATTACGGGCATCACTGTCTATATTTTAATGAGACACATGGTGTCGGAGTCCTGACAACGCGATATTGAGTTAAGCGTACCCGTACAACTAGTACGGACGTAATGAATTTTTCGTGTCGTATCGCTTCCCCTTTAACTTCAACAATTGCGCATATCTAAAACGACATTGGTCGTGGTAGCATTTTCTTCTGTTTTTATTAAATGTATGCAGTGTACAGCTGACCATTTTTTACGTAGCCATTTTACGTGTGTGTAAAACATCGATTGTCATTATTCTTCAATAAACATATGACATTTAACATAGAATGAAGATTGTGTTTTTACGCAGGATTTATCGTTGGAAGTAATTGAGTGAAAGATATTAACCTTTAACATTGATGAATAAACTGGCAATGCATGGACTGAGAAAATCCCCGAGTAGAATGAATGTCTTTATTTCATTTTGTTGTTTCGTTAAAATATCATTTCAATTCCTTTGTCAACAGATACAAAATAAGATTTGTGTATTTTATATATATTGTATATACATGTACAACGACATCGCATAGATATCATTACACTATCAACTTTTGTAAACCAGAAAATTGAATCAGTATTTATTGTAATATTTTTTCTGTGAAAACATAAGATTATCATAGATAGCTTCTGCTCAGATTATTTCTTTTCTTGTTTCGGCATAATAACAAAAACAAAAATAAATAAATAAGAAACAACTCCATGTTTTCTATAATTTCGATCGCGCTTTCATCGCTTATACATATACATATATAATCAGCAGAGTAATTTTAACAAAAATAAAAGTAAAACTATTTGGTTGGTGATATACACAGGCCTTGAAAGCACGATTTCAATTTTGGTGTTTGTCGTTATCTTTTAAAATTTTAATTATTTTTCTTCATTTTAAAACTATAGAAGGGTACATCTTTCACATTTTGAAGAGTTATATATACATATGATTTTTTTAATTGCTAAAGTGCATAAGTTTGTTTCAACGACATATAAAAAACCAACAGAATAAGACTGCCCATGAAATAGATTTTACTAGTACAACTGTATCTGTATTCACGAAAAAAGCAATGTTATGACGTCAAATTCAATTTCTCGTTTGTCAATCCTCATATGAAAGAAATTGGCATAGTTTCTTGATACTAGTGTCAGAATTGTATACACTCAATTTGCCGACCCTATTTTGAAAGAAACTGTTATCTTCGCCATTTCGCATTTATTCCAACGGCGCTGAAAAAGAGATATTTCATAACATTTTGTCGAATTTGATGGAATGATTTCTTCAGCATTTTGACCTTGATTTAATATTTTCGTCGCCCAAACGTATTTGTTTATTCGTGATACTGACCGAGTTAGAAAACTAAGATAGATTAATAATTTTGATATCATCAAAGTATGAAATGTCAAACCTTTGTACATAATCAAGTTTGAATTAGAGTACTTTTACATGAAACAGTCTCATTTAATTAATAAAGAAGTGCCCATAGTAAGAAAATTAATGACGATTTAAAAGATATATTCAAACTAATGTTTTTTGTTGTCAATATTTTTTGACTGCTAATTTATAATTTTAGTTGAAATTTCATATTCGTTTCACTTTTTGTATTCCAAAACATATAAGGAATTTTAAGGGTTTCATTTGGCTTGAGTGAATAACAAGTTTTATTTTCCTATATCTCTCGATCCAAGTAGTACAGCACCAATCAAGAAAATAAAAAATGCACGTTCCCAGAATCCAATCCCTAACTTCTGTGAACAAGCCTTTTGATTTGATTTTGTCTTCCGACCTTTTCTTTTGCTTAATAATATGACGTTTAACAATTTGGTCAGAGTACTCAATTTCCGCTCCATTTAGATACATCAATCAAAAATACAATGATCAAATTTATTCTATTAGAGAAATTATATGAGGTATGTTTTGCACATATTAAATGAACTTCAAAGCTACCTGTTGTTGGAAAAAATATTTTCTCATCAACGATCATTTCATTCAAATCAGATATTCACTCAAAAAACAACATTAATGGACTCTACGATACGACTTTTGTCTGCATGCAAAACAAGAGCTGAACGACGGATACCTGTATGTCACTTGATATTGATGTAACTTGAATGAATATAATTACTTACTACTTACTTCTATTTAATTTACCTCGCATTTGAGTTTTCATTAACCTCCGCATAAAATAAGTCTCATATATACTGCATGATTATGTTTCGCGAATTATAAAAAATGAAAATCTTTGCGAAAATAAATCTTTGCAAAGAATGTCAGTTTTGTATTAATTATTTTCAGAACAGTAAAAAGAGGTTCGCGAATATTGCACCACCCAATTAGTCCGATATATTGGTTTTGCCAAATTTTTGGCCTCGGAAAATTACTGATTTTTTTATCTATCTATATATTTTATTGAAAAGTTGATAGATTGTTTGGAGCAGGTTTGATAATTTCAAAATTAATTATTCAATCAAAATAATAAGCTTTGCATTAATTTTGTAGAGGAAGCGGAGACAAACCAATTCAAACCCCGTCAGGGGCAAGTCTTGTTTCCTTGAGCAAGAAACACTCATTGCTCAGTGCTGGTTGGTTCCAGTTACGGATTCGAAAGTGTGTCTATAAGCTTATAGCTTTCTACACAATCGAACTAAAATAAATTGTTTATAAACTAAATCAATGTGCTTTCTTTGAAAGCATAAGTAATTTTGTCAATACTTTTAAATAGTAGGCAGTAGATGTTACATCGCTCATACACAAAATTCACTCATTATGACATTTGCTTGCACAGTTTCAACTTTCTATCATTCTGTTTTTCAGGATCAATTGCCAGTATTGGAGGATCAGACTATACATGCCGAGACGGCAGTACCCCTGACCTTACACCAAAGGTCATACCAGGGGTCATAGGTGCACCTTCAAGTGTCACATCCATTCAAGTTGCTAACCTACTAAAACTCTTTAAAATTCCACAGGTAAGCTACATATAATTTTGTAAACTGAAGAAGGCATCAAGCAGAAACGTTTGCATTAAATGATTAATGAATTTTCGTGTTTGTGTGGCTTATGTGTTAATTTTGTAAACGTGTAACACGCACAAGTATGTGAACATTCATAATAAGTGTGAATGATTCTGTTTAAAAGTGAATCTGACGGGTAACCTATCGCAAAATTATTTTTGAGAGAAAATTACTTACTAGAATATCCTATTTCAAACATCTCTAAGAAGTACCAATGCAAAAGAGATAGATGAATCTTAGAAAAGTTTATTTCTATCTCTTAATAGTTAAAAATACTTGTGTGCCTTTATATTGATATAATAGCACTATTTTCCATAGTTGTATTAAGTAGATATTATTAGTTTTAAATCGTTAACTTAATTTTAATGATCCTTCGTGTATCTAATATTTAATTTAATTGATCAAGGTGTCGTTTAAAATGAAGGGGGATTGAAAGATGTAATGTTCCTGTCCTGAGAAAGAAAGAAATAAAGAGCGGCACCAAATGCTAAAAACGGTGTTTTAAACAATTAGATAGAGAATTAATTATACAACAGTGTATATGTGACAGGAATTTTATGGTAATGTTTTAAAATTATGGCTATAACAATAACATCAAATCATCTTTCAATAATATCATTATCTAAAAAATCTGTAAATATGCTAAAGCATATTTTAATTTTGCTAATGCGCAAGATAGTCTAATATATTCTTTGGCAATTTGTCTCTTTCTGCTTGTAAAGAATTAGTGTACACAAGTTATAATTGTGGTTGAGAGAATATCACAGTAAGGTGCAAATGACGTTGTTTTATAAAATATTAATATACCAAGACTGCTTTTACATATAATAGAGTATTTTTTCGTGTAGTAACATATGCAGAAGCACGATGACCCATTTAAATCCCAAACCTTGTTTGTTTTTTATTCACAAATATAATACATAATTATACATATATACAATGACATAATTTAACAAATTCAATTTGAGATATTCATATGTATTAGAATTACAACGTACATAAACACACAAAGTGAAAAAAGCTTGAAACTATTTAGAGGTTAGTATATATCTTTTAAAAGTTGTAGTATTTTGTCAAAAAATTTAACTTTTGTCTTCTTGTATTTAAAGTATAGATAAATTATTTCGAATTCTGTTTTAAACAGTTTTAAAATATTAAATTCATTTGACCAATTATTACTACAAAAGTAAGCTTTATAAATTCTAAAACCTACAATGGTGAGTATAACATTTATGTAAAAGTATTCTTCTTGAGATATTTTATAACCGAAAATAAGGATGTCTAGTCTACGTATATTTCTTTGAATTCCGCACTCTTGAAATATATATAAAATTTTCTCCCAAAATACATTTACTGCCATACAATCGATAAAAAGATGTTGATAATCTTCTATTTTATTACATTTATTACAGAGTGGAGATGAGACCATTTTCCATTTATAGCGCGTTTCTTTGCTTGTAAAGATCATGTTTATTACTCTAAATTTGAATTGTTTATACCGATTATCAGGAATTCTTGTAATGAATTAATATATATCATTCCAGTTTAGTTTTCTCTCATTTTTATTTGACCAATACGAATGTGAAGCGGGTTTGTTTAATGAATACTTTGTTTACTAATATTTGATATATTGTTTTTGAATCCATCAATTCAAAAGGTCTGTTATTTATCTTAAGACGTTTTTCTGTTTTTATTTTTGTTTGCCAAGAGTGAAACGTTTTCATAGTTTGTTTCCAGGTTAGAGGTATAGCTTTAAAGAGCAAGTTTAATTCAACGACGCAGTTGCGTTTATCTACTAGCTTATTTAAGATAACATTTTGATCTACTTCACCCTGATCATTAAGTAAATCATTTAAAAAATATATATTCGATTTAATCCATGTTTTAAAAAACAAACATTGGTTTTTAATTTTAATGAATCTATTGCCCCAGATTATTTGTTTTCTTATTTGTTCAAATTTCAAATTTTGATTTTCCTTATGTAAATCGCGAGTTTTTATCCATATTTTAATATTTAAATAAGTTCTTGATAAAATTCAGTCACATTACTACAATTGAGACTTTTAATAGTGTCTGTATTACAATAAAATATTAAAAAATTGTCACCAAAATCTTTCAGTAGGCGTTTCGGAATTAATTTCCAGTTTGCTTCTGATTCATCAGTTAAAGCTTTTACCCATTTAAGTTTTAAAGAAGTTATATAATAATCCATTGTAATTTATTGCCTATTAAAGTTGCACGTTTTACTTTTTCTTGTTTATTGTCCCATAAAAATTTGAATATCATTGTATTGATTTCTTTCACGATACGTTCTGGCACAACTAAAGAATGAAACAAATAAGTAAATTTTGGTATCAATAACGATTTTATAATTTGAACTTTTCCATACATCGTTAACTTACGTTTTAAACAGTTTTTTATTAGACTTTGACATTCAGTTAGTTTTGACTGCCAGTTGAGTTTAGAACACTCTTCGTATTGTATGCCAAAATAGACTCCTAGTGCTTTAATTGGTTTATTTGGCGATGTTATATTTCCTTCTTTATCAGTTCGTGATTTACTTCTTCCTATCCACATTGCTTCAGTTTTTTTGCTATTGAGTTGTAACCCCGAGTATTTGCCAAAGCGCTCTACCAGATTTATTGCATTCAGAATGTCTTGTTCAGATTTCAGAAAAAGAGTAGTGTCATCAGCAAGCTGTGCTATTTTAATTTGTTTATTATTATTTTCGATTTTTATCCCTTCTATACTGTTTGAGTTTCTGATTTCAATGGCCATAATTTCAGCAGCTAATATAAATAAAAGAGCAGATAATGGACATCCCTGTTTAATACCTCGATTTAAGTTAAATATCTCTGATTTATGTCCATTGTTAAAAACACATGATTTAATATCATTATAAAATGTTTCGACCCAGTTTATAAAGTTCGATTTAAAACCAAATTGTTTAAGTACATTAATTAAAAAATTCCATTCTAGAGTATCAAAAGCCTTACGAAAATCTAGAAACATTATCGAACAATTTATTTGTTTTTCTGAATAATCTATTATGTCTTGTATTAAACGTATGTTATATCCGATAAATCTGTTTTTAATATAACATTGTTGGTCTAAGCTTACTATCTTATGAATAACAGTTTGCAATCTATTAGCAAGAGCACGAGTTGCAATTTTTACATCAACACATAATAATGAGATTGGTCGATAGTTTTCTAATAATAATGGGTCCCCTTTTTTATAAACTAAAGATAGACAACTAATTTTTTGTGAATGAGATAATAGTTTTTTATCAAAACATTCATTTAGACACTCTGTGAGATGTGAACCTACACAATAGAAAAATTCTTGATAGAATTCTGCAGGAATGCCATCAATTCCTGGTGATTTATTTGGCTTAAGTCCATTAACAGTTATCAGTTTTTATTTCGTCCAAATTTAAATAGCCTTCGCACTTACTCGCTTCATCATCGGATAATTTGTTTTCATACTGAATAGTGTTAAGGTATGTTTTTATATGATCTGTTGGAATTTTACTAGAAGTGTAAAGTGTTCTGTAATAATTTACTGTTTCTTTTAAAATTTTCGTTTCATCTGAAAGTACATTTCCATTTATTTTAAGTGAGTTAATCGTTTTCCGCGTTTGTCTCGACTTTTCCAGATTCAAAAAAAAAATTCGTGTTTTTTTCTCCATTTTCAATAAAATTTATTCGGGATCTTATTTGTGCGCCTTTCGCCTTTGTTTCATATAGTTCTTGGATTTCTTTTTCTAATTTTTCAATTTGCTCGGATTCTAATATACTATTGTTTTGTAATATTTTAAGTTTAGTTTCAAGTTCTATAATATATTCTTTTCTTTCTTTTGCTCGCCGTTTTGAATATGTAATCGATGAATTTTTAATTTCTAATTTACATAATTCCCAAAAGTCTGTTTTGATACTGTGTTTCTGTAAGCAAGCTCGCATTGTTTTATTGTATCTTCGATCAATAATTTATAATCACTCTCTTTAAGGTAGGAAATGTTCATCTTCCAGTAACCATTTCCGCGTTTTGATGGTTTTTGTAATTTTAAAAATATTGCTTGATGATCTGTGTATTTGATACAAGCGGGTCTTATATCGGATTTAACTACTAACGGAACTGCATTATCTTCAACTAACCAGAAGTCTATTCTACTTTTTTCTGTACCATTTTTCCTTCGCCAGGTAAACTGTATTTTGTTTTCATTAAAAAGTTTCCAAACATCTATCAGATTATTAGATTTAATAAAATTTGCAAAACCTTTCCCGGGATTAATTTTTATATTGTTGTTTACATTAAATCTATCGGATGATTGTAATATGTTGTTCATGTATGTCTCCGCCGACAATTATATATCCCTGAGCATTTTCATTTAATATTTTCGACAAATCGTGGAAAAAAATGTTTCTTTTTGATAATTCATTATGGGCATAAATGTTAAGAATAGTGTAAATATTGTTGTCTAGGGTTATATTTAGAAGTAAATAGCGCCCATACGTATCTTTAAGAGTGTCGATGATATCAAAATGTATAGATTTATTAATAAAGATAGAGCATCCGCTACTGTTACTTGAGCCAAATGAGTGAAATATTTGCCATTCATTAAATTCTTTTGCAATTAGGTTTTCAATGTCTACCGTTATATGTGTTTCTGATAATAGAAGAATCTGGCATTTTTGTGACAGAATATATTGTTTTAATCTTGCCCTTTTTTCAAACTGTCTAATTCCTTGACAATTTAGTGATAAGAATTGAATATAATTACTTATATGGAATTAGTTCTTACAGAGATTATTATTGCTTGAAAAAAAATGCAAGTGCATTTAATATCTGTAAAAAAGAACATATCTGGAATGTAAAAAATATTCCTTTAACTACGAAAACGAAAAGTAAAGAAGTACAAGAATTACATTTGACTAACGCAGATATTCTCGATA